TAAAACATATGTAGCAAGATTTCTTCCTCACCAATTCCAGACTGCACTCCAAAATTAAGGTAAGCTATGTAAAAGTATGATTTCCATTTTTGGAAAGCAGGGAAGGTGACTATTAGAGGAACCAGAGGACTCGAACAACACTCTTAAATGACAAAAACAAAAATGAAACACATATGCATGCTTTCATTTTTTTCCTTTAGGCTTCCTAACAGTACAAAATAGAACAGGATATTAGAGGTAATGGAATGCAACCAACATCCTCATTTTACAGATGAACAAACTGAGAACTAGAGAGGTTAAATTATTTCCAGAAGTCATCCAAAAGGTAAGAGGCAGACAGAATAGAACTTGGGACTCCAAACTGGTAGTCCAATAAACGTACAGTTTCCCAGTAACTATCCTAATTCAAAATTTATGAGGTTATCTTGGTATTTCTTGATATATTCAATTTGATTTCTACCACTTACCAAATGGCAAACTACTCTAAGGAAAAGTTTTAATTTTCTGTGAGAGAAGATAAAATCTTTAAAACCATTCATATTTTACCTACATCTAAAAGCTCTGAACTAAAGTACTTCTTTCATTAAGTAGAAAATTATGTGCAGAGTATTCAGTTAATATTGCAGTTATTTGTTTCAAGTGGTAAAAAAAAAAAAGGATTAAATTCCACATAAATATTATACAATTTTTAAAAAATCTAACAGTAATAGGTGTCGTAGCCACTATTTTATTTATTCTCTATTAATACCCTGCTATTACTCTACTATAGGATCAATTTATTACTCCTTTATTTCACTGATTTCAAAAAGTACCTTTTTCTCTATTGAGCATCTTTTTAAAACTCAGGATTTATTTTATAATCATTAGTGTCTCACAGTTTAAATGGCACTATTTTTTTTTTCTTCTGAGTGGTATGTAAAATAATGGTGTATTTTACAATCCATCATATCTTAGGTTTAGTGAAACACAGTACGTTAAGTTTGTAGTTTCAATTACTGTGGCTATTCGGGAGGAAATGAAGATTTCTTTGTAGAATTTTCCCCTGGCTACTGTGTTTTAGTTTTAAAAATCCAGGGTTTCTCTCCTTCTCTCCCACCAAAAATAATTAAATTAAATCTGTCTCCTTTGTTTATCATTCCAGTGAATGACAGAGCACTGCTCTAGAACTCAGGAGTTATCTTTGACATTTCTCCTCTTCCTCTCAAATACATATGTAATCTATCACAAATTTATCTCCTAAAAATCTCTCAAACCTGTCCCTTTAGTCTCTCCTTCTACTACCACCTTTCTGTTCCAAACTCCATCATCTCTTGCCTGCGCAACTCAACAGCCGCCCAAATGGTTTCCCCACATCTATTCTTTGTTTCCTGTAATGTCTTTTTCACAGTGATTCTAGCTGATCTTTCCTTAATATGGCCTGCCAGACCCTCCAGGGTCCATGCTGCCTTTTCTGTGGTCAGAAGCATTGGCCTTCTTAAGAAACTAAGTTCTCTCCCACTTTCAAGGCCATTGAACATGTTATTCTCCTGCTGGAAAGCTCTCTCAATAAATCCTATCCTTCAAGTATCAGTTCAAAGTTTATTTCTTCATGGAACACTTTCCTGATCTCCTGACAGGGCCTCTCTCATACTATGTAACTTTCCTTCACAGCATTTAACTTAATTGTAACTTTATATGTGTTGTCCACAGATTAATGACTGCTTTCTGCTCTTACTTGTAACATCTATGAGAACACTGAATTAAAACTGTCAGCACCAAAGTGCCTGCACAGAGTAGATGCTCAAATATTTGTTGAATATGCAACTGTGAAGTCTACAGTAACTAACGTGATCTCTATAAATCACAATTTCTTAGATTTATTCAATTTGGCATTTTACTATCTTGATCAGTATCAACATCCAAATCTGTCCCAGGTCTTTTTTCTTGCCTCTGAACCATGAAAGCAAAGGCTGAGCTGGTATAAATTTAAATGAAATTCTGTTCTTGTAGTCACTGTTTCATTTACTTCTTAAAACTCCATTTACAATTTGGTTGTCCTAAAATTATAGCAGTGGATTCTTAAATTAACAAAAATTGGAAAATCCTGCTATATTCTACTTATGTTTTGGGATCTTAACTTCACTATTTTTCGTAAATCAACTGTTACACGTTCAAATAAGTATTAACTGTGAAGAGTTGTAGGCAGTAATCTCTTTAAACTGCAACAACTAATTAAATGCTGTAAGTCTGATTATGTGTTAAATCATCTATATGGTAAAAACAAAGCATGCATACAAACATCATGCCAAACTACTTGTCAGGATACATTTACACATAAAAATGACAAGAAAGGAAAATATTACAAGGGAACTTTAAGTTCTGATTAGAGAACTTTTAAGTTCTGATTAGAGAACTTTAAGTTCTGATTAGAGAACTTCCTTTTTTATGTTCAATATTTAAATGTCCAAATAAGGATA